ATAGAGAACTTGACTTTTGACCTGTTTTCACGTTTCTGAGCCCTGGCAAGATACCTTTTCACAATGCTTTACTTTTACAAGGCCCGTGCTGCTCTATTTTTACAAGGCCTGAGGCCTATATCGGGTAAAGGCCCTTTTAATGTACACCAGTAAAAGACCAATGACAAGTCCCCCTTCTCTCGCTTACCAGCTCCTCCTCCTTATCACCTCCTCTCTTATTCAAACAATAAATAATAATAATAATGATGAATAACCAACCAGAGTCAGAGTCCAAATCCCTCTTCCACTGCTTGGCATAACGAGAGGTCCACCATACCCATGGCCTCTTTCTTCCTCCTCTTCAATCAGGCCGTGGCTATGGCGGACTACTAAGGTCCTAGCCATGCTGTGCAAAAGACAGTGCAAAGCAGCTATGTCCACTGCTGTTCAGGCCGCCATGCCTGACTCTGCCTTGAAGCCTTCTTGGTGTGGTGCAACCCCAACTGGGGTCTTCCGGATGCAGCGCCTAGCAAGGTGATGAAGATGGCGTCCACCATAGCCAGGTAAGTACCTCGCCACTCTCCTCCCTAGTCCCCTTCTTCCTCATCCTCCTACCTGGGGTCTTCCTCCATAGCCACGGAGGTCACCCAGGCACTCCTCCTCCCAGGCAGCGCTAGTAGAGCTGAGCTCCTTCTCCCAGCAGCACTCTGAAGTCCAGCACCCGCTCAAGCAGCATGACGCCCAAACTTGCATACCGCAAATGAGAAGGAGCACTTCGCTTCTCCTGGAGATATAGCGGCCTACCTGCCTCTTGGGCGGTGACTTCCAGGCCACGTGGCCTCCAAGCAACCGGTACCTCCTCCCTTTCGGACGGAAACATCATTGCAGGCTCCAATATTGTCTGCACAGGCCCTAGACTCAGGCTACTTGGACTGGTACCCCGCCTGGACCTAGCCTACCAGCCACTGGGCCTCTAAAAATACAATTTTTTTTTTATTTTTTTAATTTTTTTTTGTCTTTTTCTGCTGGGCCTCCGGTTCCCGACACATCTACCGCTACTTGAGTGGTAACGGCCTACCTGCTACTGGAGTGTTTTTCCCCGCCGCCCAAAGTGTTGTGGGCCTACTCTCCGATACTTGAGTGTTTTTCCCGCAGCAACCCTCAAAGTCACGGCCACAGTTAAGTACCGCCCCCCCGTGGGTCAACAAAAGTGCCCTGGTGGGCCACACACACTCAGACCGACAAGCACTCAGACAGGCACACGAACCAGGAAGCACGACACACACACAGACTTAGAAAACTCAGCAGAACGCGGAAATCTCAGCAAGGCATTCATTCCAGCGGCAAAAACTCAGAAATCAGCAGTGTTCTCAGTCTGTGTTTTGGCGGGTCAAAATATCCCAGGCCTTGTCCACATATCCATATATCCAAATAACTTATCCAAATATCCAAATGCCTTATCCAAATATCCAAATGCCTTATCCAAGTATCCAAATGCCTTATCCAAATATCAAAAAGCCTTATCCAAATATCCAAATGCTGTATTGAGCTGTCTTACCTCCGGGAGTTCCGGTTGCTGTCGCTCTACAACCGAAGCAATGAGATGATTAGCTTGCAGCACGAGCAGCATGACGTTCTCCAGACCTGAAGGGTGGACACATATAATGAGTACCACATTGACTAGATCCACGGAATTTGGCGTTCGTTCTTCGCAAACAAGTTCTCTCATCCTTTTTTTCTTTTCTTTTTTTTGATAACTTTGCAGGAGAGGGTCACTTGAGGAGGTGGTAAGAGCATCCTCCTCAAGTGGCCCCTCCGATGAAGGCTCCATCCATTGGTGGGGACCTGCACCTGCTGGAAACCGGGTCCAGCGTCCCAGATATCACATTACAGAGTTGAGGTTGTCGACCCGTAGTTTGGCCTTCGTACTGCTGAAGGACCATTATTTCCTATAGAGAGTAGCCCTAAGGCCCCTAACAATGTTACATGATTTGCTGGGATTCAAACTCATGATCTGTTCATCAACAGTTACATATGTCGGCCATACTCTGTGTGCCATGCAGCCACAAGACAGGTGGTTGGTACTTCCGGGGAGGAAGGGCTGTTTGTGTAACTTCGTGCACACCCACCCAACAGAGTAATGTACCCCTTCTATTCGAGCTTCTGGCTCTTCCAAGGGTGTTTGCACAGAGTCCCCCTACACACTAATGAACCCCCTTTCTAAAGGACTTCTGCGTCTTCCAAGAGGGACTGTTTGCACACAGCCACCTGTCAGACTACCATCTTCCCCTGAGTAGAAGGTACGGTCATTTATAGATGCATTTGGGGCAACTTTCTGTGTGAATGCAGTCACAATGACTGTACGCTCTATCCAAGGGAAGATGGTCGTAAAACCTTTCTTTTCAGACTTCTGCTTCTGGGGAGGCTACTGGTTTTATAATTTCCTCGAAGAGGACGGGGTGATGAAATGGGTTGTACCTCTTTCACGCTCGTTTCCATATGCACAGATGGAGGATTAGGGGAGAAAAGGTGGGGGGAGACACA